TAGTTTTTTTCTGTTGATCTCCCTCCTGGTCCTAATGCAGCTTTTATAGTCTCTGTTCTTATCCTGTTCCTCTTCTCAGACATGAAGAGAGTAACCAGGAGCTGCTGGCAAAGATCGCTCATTGAGAAAGGGACATAAACCAAGAAAGGACAACCCCCAGGATGTCCTTCTGTTGGGGGGGTGCTCCCTTAGGGCAGGAGTGCCCCTAGAGTAGTAGAGTCCACTTCCCCCACATTTCCTCTCTCCGGGATCTGCCTTGGGTATGTGGTGGTGAGAAGGGGGCTGAGGGAGCAGCTCCAGCTTCACCCTAATCGTCATCTCCCCTTCCCAGGTGTCAATTTGGGTCATGGAGGGGAGGAAGGTTTAACTCTTTTGGTGCTGACTAAGAAATCATAGATCTTTGACTTCTTGTTTGGCATGAGGCTGTAGAGCCCAGTATTAGGACGTGGTTTTCTGCCTTTAAGGAATAATTTTGTAACCAGGAGGGAGAGTTTTTCACAAGAACCAGTCATTGATTGATATATGGGAACTGATCTGGGGGCCCCAGACCACTGCTTGAGATGCCCATGACAGCCTTCTAAACTGCCTGCATTTGCCCGGGTTAGAATGACCCAAGGGCTGGCTATCCTATTCCAAAGGTGGGCCATTCTACTTCACGAAAGGTCTTTAACTTACTTAACTTACTTTAACTTACTTGATAACTTTGTTCCATAGTCTTCTTTTCCCTCAAAGGCCTCTCTGAAATGTTTAACCATACATCTAATGGGGTTTAATGGAACTGGTTTGACCACCCATGATAAAAACAACTCCAGAGTTCAGGAAGGCAGGTATGGCTTCTGAGCACGTGCCTGCTCTCTGCCGCTATTCCAGTCGGGAGATGCACTCAGCCCTGCCTGAGCCACTGCTGCAGCCTAGAGCTGTGTGTGGAGCAGAGCAGTGCAAGCTAAGAGTGGGCCGTGCAAGTGTATGGTTGTGCACCGTTAGGGCTCAGCTGCGCACTCCCTGTGAGTCCCAGCGCCTGCCTCACCTGTGCACTCCAGGCGAGTTATGTTGGTCTTTTTGCAAATGAAAAACACCACAGAGCGATGAAAACCCCAATGTTTCCCAAGTAAACTAAAGCTAAGAGGAATCTCTGGAATCAACTACAGTTGCTAGGGGCCACTGATATCAGTCCCAGAGCCAACAGAAGGACTAGCGGAATGAGAAGCACAATGACAAGGTGTTAAGGAGCATCCAGCCCTAGGGAACAAGGGTGTGACCTTCAAGATCCCTTGGGGGCTTATCGGATCTCCTGTCATGTTCTGGAGAAAAGGGTTGTGAGTGCATATGAGTGAGTACTAAGGGGAAGAATTCTGTTGTGAGGGTCGGGGGAGGGTGGGGGGAGGTAGGCCTGTGGGGAGGAGATTTTGCGGTAACTGCCATTGCAAAGATCTCCAATTGTCAAACTCCCAGGTGGCATGGTCTACAGCTGTACCGATGAGACTGCTGATACTAGGTCAAAAGAGTTTGGTGTCCAGAATGGACTGTCTGGGTTTCTGGCCTAAACGCTTCTCTATGGGAGTTGCCTTGGAATTGGCTTCTTCGCATGCTCCTGGCTAGGGTTAATATAGCACACCCTAGCTTTAGATCCCTAAAGCAATGGCACCCTCCTTCAGTGAAAGGACAGAGGTATTTAGTTTAAAAGAAATGTAGGTGGATTTACAAAAGGAGGGTAGGTCTCCTTGCAAAATCTTCTCTAAATTGGTGACACTCTTTGGAGCCAGAGCCAACAGACAAGAAGATGGGGTGATAATAAAAGAAGTGGCTGATAAGTGGGAGTCGGTTGTTTGGGACCTAACCAAGATAGGGGTCTCTTTTCTATACAGTCAGACCAAGAGTGCTGACAAAAGAGGCAATTTCATGACCCACGAGAGAGATGAACGAGGTAAGCCTTCCTCACTCATAGAGGTTTCTTGGACTTGCTCCGGGAAGAAAGTGGCCAGTGTGCGAGGATAGAGGGGCCTTCCTGACATACAAGAGAATCAAGTATCCCCATCTTTTCCCCCCTGCAACGATGCTGCAAGGCAAACAAAGGGTGGGATGCCACCTCCGAAGAGATGGCCAATCAGGTGTCTGCCTGGCCAAGTCCTTCAAGGGAGCTTTGGTGCCTCTTAGCATTGACTGCCTGGTACTAACCCCCTGGTAGGACTGGATATGCAGGGAAGGATGGAATCCCCCAGTGCCTAGTGCAGCCCTAAGCTGTAGGAGGAGACCACAGAACCACAACTGAGGACCCACTCAGACTTTGTAGTCAAAGCCGCAGAGCCACAAACACAGTCACACCGTTACTCATTCACCATTCATACAAGAAATTAAAAACATTCCCTCCCACTGAGAAATATTCCTTAAAGCAACAGTAGTGACAGAAAGGACTCATAGACCAGTAGGCTTCTACCTAAGGAGGGACTCGAACCCCCACTCTAGCAACCCAGATTGCCAGGCACTATCTAAAGAGGGACTTGAACCCCCAATCTAGCAACCTAAATTGCTAGACACATATCTGCCTAACTCCTGATTCCAGCAACGTCTTGGTGGAATCTGAGTAGGGGCTCCTTTAACTACGTCTAGTTGGCCCTGAAAGTACCACTGGGCATCCCACCTAGCTGCTACTCATCAGGGGGCACCCCCTGTGTCAGCCTCATACTCCCCAGTCAACCGATGTTAATCAGAAAGAGGAAAGAGAAACAGAGAAGAAAAGACAAGACTCTGGAAGTTTTCTTACCAAGACTCCATGGTTGGAAGGAGTAGTCAGCATTCCCTGTCCAGTCGTCAAAGACCCAGAAAGCTGTCTCTGAGGCCTGGAACACCTCAGGTGGTGCCTCCCCCAGAGTACCCTAAGTGTTGGGTAGCTGGACAGGCAAGGCCACCCTCTGTGGATACCTCATCTAGGAAACAGGTACAGGTACAATCTCAATGGGGTCTCCAAATGTTGTATTCAAATCAGCATGAGAATAAGAGGATATACAGTTTTAGCCAAATTAAAGGAGGCATTTATTAAGCTGGCAACTGCAAGAGAACTTGTGTCACTCCAAAACCTTGCAGCCCCGAAGCAGGGGGGAGGAAGGTTTATAAAGGCAAAAACCACAAAGGGAAGAAAAAAAAAAAAAAGAAAAAACTACACATCTAAGAAAGTACAGGCCTTGATTTATGCAAAAGCAGTTAACAAAAGCCAAAAAAATGAGTTATCAGGAAGGAGAGTTAGAATTGGCTGGATAGTTATAATTGGTTGTATCTGCTGGTGATAAATGGCGCATCTGCTGGGGATAAACATTTGGTTAGGAAGACAGGGATGGATGGCAGTGTTCATCTACTGGCGATAAGCACTCAGTGAGGAGTTTTAGGATACACACATGGGTCAGGTTATAGCGAAAGGGAAATGACAACAGAGTCATATAACAAATGGAGGTGCTCATGCTTCACATCTAGAGAGGTTTAGCACCGTTTGTTTAGAAGACCTCACTCATGAAATTGCCTTCCTGGGGAAGTATTTCCAGGTATCTCATGTTTCCTATGTATGCCCTTTTCACCTTCCAGTAACTCATCACACCACCAAAACCAAAGAGGGTTTTCTCAAAGAGGTGGGCTCGCCCGGCTAACAGGGTGAACGCATCGATCAGCTCATCTGCAGCAGAACTAGATCCAGGAATATCTGAAAGCACAGTGCATTTGAAGCATGGGATTTTTTGTTTTGTTTTGTTTTAATTGTTATCGAGTATCTTCAGAGAAGATTATCATCTGGACCAATTTCAGAAACTGGAAAGGAGGAGTCACAAAAACACATTACTTGATGTTCATGACAGGCACTCCTCATCACAGCTCAGCTGCAAAGAAAAATCCCAGCATTTTCCACATTGGCCACTGCCTTCTCTGAAATCAGCATGTGGCATGGAGGAAGGAGCACTTCTTAGTTTAGCATGGATGAAATTGGCCTATGAGGCCCAGGCAAGCAGTTTGGTTAGACCATGCCCCTTGCATAATCTGGACCCCAAAAGTACTCTTTTGCTCTACTGACTGTGGAAGAGTAGACCAGCCACAGGATTTCTGGCAAAAAAAAAAAAAAAAAGCAGGTCTGCTATTGAGTGTTCCTCAGTGTCCACCCATCCGTGGACCTTCCCTCTGCTCCCTGCACTTAGCTGCCTCATCTTGCCATCTCAGCATTGGTGAGGATGGGCCGGGCCAAGGTCAAACTTGGAAACTTGCGTAACCACCATGTTTCCTAATCCTTTCAGATCATCTATGCTGCAATTTTGGCTCAGGGACCCTCAAACATAGCTATGAAATTTAGGGGGATAACAATTATTAATTTAAAATGTGCCACGCTATGAGATAATTAGGCTCAGAGGCTCCAGAGTTAAACTGCCGGGAATAGGTGTTACTCCCACTGTAAAGCATGGTGAAATCAGATTACTTTCCAATGATGGAAATGATTACTTTCAACTGACAACTGACCAGTCATGGGAAAACAGTTATAGATGTGGAAGCCTGGGGCTTGCCTTCCAGATCAGCCCTATACTAAATATGGGAACAGTGTTTTCACTCCTGCCTGTTAATCTCATCTGCTTCACATCATTATTAAAAGAATTCATTGGGACCAGCGGTTAGCGTATTGGCTATGTCAATGGACTCCCATGTAGTGGACCGTGGTTCGTGTCCCGGACCTGGTGGCTTAAAACTCATGCCAGGCACGTATGCGTGAGTGCCCAAGACCCCAGAGGAGAATGGAGGAGAAGGGACTGCGGAGTGACCATCCCCCCTAGGGGGTGATTTCTTGCTTTCTGTCTGTCTCTGTCTGGCGAGCGTACGTGCCCTATAGTAAAATAATTCATTTATAATTTTATATAAATAAAAGGGATTATTAAAACACACACACACAGAAAAGCAACACACCAGCTCCCCATCCCACCCACCCACCCACCACACCCACACACAAAGTCACAGTGTTAACAAAGTCTGGCGTTGGGCTTTCCAGTCCACGAAAACAATGCCGTTGGGCTGTCTCTTTGTCTGTCTTCTGCTCTATGTCCCGCCCCTCCAAGTGTTACTCAACCAATATAAGGACCAGACGGTGCAGGGTTAAGCTTTGTGCCCTGAACTGGAGGAGGTTCCATCGCTCTCTCTGGGAGAAATTCGCGCTGCAGAGGAGAAAGACCCGCAGGTACCCGGCGCCCCGCGATCCCTCTCGCATTGGTCCTCCGACAGTCTCGCAGGTCCGTGGGGTTCCCCCGACCGGGTTCCGCAGAAGGCAGGATGGGGACTGCTGCTCTCCGACCTGGAACTGCCCGGAGAACGGCTTTGGTTTGGCCGATTTAATTTGATGACTCTCACTAGTAACTTCGGTGCTAGCGAGCTGGGGGAAGCTGGGAGGCTCGGGACGCGGGCGGAGCGGGGAGGAAGGAGCGGCGCGAAGCCGCACAGCTGAAATCTTAAACCAAACCTGGTCAGCTTTCCCCGCGGTTCAGGAGCACAAGGATTTTAGAGATGACTGCATCGGGGTACTGAGGCTTCTGCGGTGAAACCAAGTGAGGTCGTGGCTGGCCTGAGGACAACAGGGTCAGCGTCCAGCCTGTTACAGGAGGCCGTGTTCCCGGGGCTTGCCTAGCACCCTCAGGCTCAGAAAGCAGCCTTCAAGCAGTAACAGCATCAGAGTAAGACTCCCACGAAGCCCTGTGTCCTCCATAAAGTGGCTAAGCAAGAGCCGCAGGGGTGCTGTCCAGACACTGTTGCTGTGCTGTTACTTATTTTCCTTTTGTGCATGACCGTGGCAGAAGTTAGAAGGGAGCCCTTCAGGACTAGTGAGGAAGAGGGGGATTCTTGACAGTAGCACTTAACCACCTCCACCTGCCGGCCCCGTGGATGTCATTTTTAATAGCTCGTCCCTGTTCCTTTGGAGGTTATGGGGGAGAGAGGTGGAGGCGAGGTGGGGTGTGATGGTTCTGAGTCAGCCTCTGGGAGGAAGTGAGGGCTAGGCTAAATGTGTCTGGCCTTACCCTATCAGAAGGTGACAAGGCTGTGCCTGCCTAGACGGGGAAATAGAAACTGATTCCTAAGTGTCATCTGCAGGGTGAGCGTTTTCCTGGCCTGATACCTAATGGCAGCTTATACCATAGCATCCTGAGTTAGAAGTGTTCATTTAAATGCCATAATACTTTTTTACTCTTCTGTTTAAATAAGGAAATGAGCAACCCCACATTTTATTACCTCTATGCAAGTGAAGAAGGGGGAAATGCCAAGACCCACTCCTGGCCTGATTGTGAGAATTCAGAAAACAGAAATAAATTTCAGTATTATTGTCATGGCATAGGACATGAAGTAAACAACCCTGTATAATGACAAGTATTTCTTAAGGCTAACAGTCACTTTCACAGGTCAAAAAATAGTCTCGGGAACCAGCAGTTAGCGTAATGGCTGTGTCGCTGGACTCCCACGTAGTCGACCACGGTTCGCGTCCTGGACCCAGTGGCTTAAAATTCACGCCGGGTGCCTGTGCGTGCGTGCCCAAGATCCCGAGAGGAGAATGGAGGAGAAGGGATTGTGGCGTGAGCATCCCCCCTGGGGGGTGATTTCTCGCTTTCTGTCTCTATGTCTCTCTCTGTCTGTCTGGCGAGCGCACGCACCCTATAGCGAAAACCTCTCAAAAAAAAAAAAGTCCCTAGGGGCTGGCAGGTGGCGTGGTGGATTAAGGACGCTGGACTCCCACATGGCTGACTGTGGTTTGAGTCCTGGAGCTGGCAGCTTGATTTTTCTCTCCTTCTCTGGTCAAATTAAATAAATAAAAATAAATAAATAAATAAATAAATAAATAAATAAATAAATAAAACAATAGTCTCTGAAGACAAGGTGTCTTAGAGGATTCCTTCATTAGAAAAAAACCTACATAGACAATTTTATGAAGCAGAATACTTCCTGTTTTTATGTACCCATAGGGGAAAACACATTTTTCTAACTTTGCTGGGATACTTTTCTCTCACAGTTAAAAGAGCCTGTTGTGTTCTGCACTCCACACTAGATTTCTACTGAGAAAAACCTGGCAATCCTGAGAAGTATAAATTTACAGTATACAAGGGAAAAGGCAGGGAGATTATTGTTTAATGAATACAGAAAGCATGCAAAAGTCTCTTTCTGGAGTATGCAGAATTTGGGACCCTAACACTAATCCTGTCAGAGATTTAGATTCTATGGAAAAAATTTCAACAGCAGCAAGTACATAAGTCTACTGGGTTTTGAATCAATTATATTTTAATGAGATGTTTAACTCTTTTCAAATTTATTCATGGATATAATTTTAAAAATATTTATTCATTTATTTCATTGTATTTGTTATTATTATTATTATTATTATTATTTTAATTTAACCAGAGAGAGAGAGTGAGAAAGGGAAAGTGAGAAAGCAAGGCACCAAGTCTGAGACTTGAACTGCAGTCAGTTCTCTTTCAGGAAAAAACTCTTCTTAAATATACAATAAAAATTTATGCATTCATATTCCTAAACTGTATAACTTCAAGAATTATTGGGGTCTTTAATGGCCACTCTGGGAAACATTTGACTTGAACAAAATTGTTCATTTGAGATGTATCTTTAAAAAGTGAAGGAGTGGGGTCGGCAGGTGGTGTGGACTCCCATATGGCTGACTGCATTCAAGTCCTGGACCTGGTGGTTTGCTTTCTCACTTTCCCTCCCTCACTCTGTCCCTCTCTGGCTGAATTAAAATAATTACATAAATAAATAAATAAAATAATTCCCTTTTTTTGGAGATATTTTTGTTATACAGTGCATGCACTTTCCAGAAAGACGGAGAGAGACAGAAAGTGAGAAATCACTCCCCAGGGGACATAGCCATGCCACAATCCCTTCTCTTCCATTCTCCTCTCAGAATCTTGGGCACGCATGCACATGCGCCTGGTGGGAGTTTAAGCCACTGGGTCCAAGACTCCAACCATGGTCGACTACATGGGAGTCCAGTGGCATAGGCATTACGCCAACTGCTGATCCCTAAAATAATTCTTTAAAAAAAAAAAAAGTCTACAATTATAAAAAGTGAAGGAGTGAGGCCAGTAGGTGGCATGGTGTCTAAGGCTCTGGACTCCCACATGGCTTACTGTGGTTTGAACCCTGGACCTGGCAGCTTGCAAATCACGCCAGGCACATGTGCATGTGTGCCCCAAATCCTGAGAAACTAGAGGAGAAAGGATTATAGCATGGCCATGCCCCCTGGGGGCTGGATTTCTCACTTTTTCTCACTTTTCTCTCTCTCTCTTTCTCTCTCTCTCTCTCTCTCTCTCTCTGATGAGCACATGTGCCCAATGGCAAAAACCAAGAAAAAAATTACTGTCATCTCACAAGACCTAGTAAATTACAGCTCTTGTGAGAAAGGGTTAATTCTCTTGAGGCCCGATTGCTAGAAGAGAGCTGCCTGCAGTCCGCTTGCTCTCTGTGTGCACCCACAGTCCTCCATGCGTCCGTCAGCCATGCTGTTTTCCTATGCCTTTGGACTTCTAGTCACCAGAATCATGATTTCTGCAAATAAACCTCTATTCTCTAAAATTCACCCAATCTCAGTTATTTCTACTAACAACGCACACAAAAAAAGTGTTTAATATACATCCAGAGATCCCTCTAATTATGAAAATTTTCTAGTTATACTCATTTCAGTTCATAATTATCACTGTAAAATGTTCCATTTTCTGCAGATGACTAGAGAGAGAGGAAATGAGAAAGTAAGCCTCCAGATCCAGGACTCAAACCACAATCAGACATGTGGGAGTCCAGTGCCCTTAACCACCATGCCACCTGCTGGCCCCAATTTTCCCTGCTTCTGCTCTTCTTGTCCTCTACTAATTGTTCTTTCTGTTTTTCAGAAGATACTGTCAGGGTAAGAAACTGAGGCCAAGTGCTGAGAAGATGAGTCTCAAACTCGATTTGGAAACAAATTTTGCTGAGTGTGTTGTAGATGTAGGAAAAATCATCCTTGGGAACAAACAAAGGGAGGAAATGAACCCTCGCCTACAGGAGAAGCAGAACGAAACCATTCAGCAGGCCATATGTGCTCTGCTGAATTCTGGTGGAGGAGTGGTCAAGGCTGAGATTGAAAATGAAGACTACAATTATGCAAGACATGGAGTGGGTCTAGATCTGCCTTCAATTTTCAGAGGCTATTTAGATGAGATGCAGCAAGGAAACCTCTTTCTGATTTTTGTGAATTCGTGGAACACTGAGGCCGCTGGTGTACCATTTGCGACCTTGTGCTCCAATTTGTACCACAGATATAAAATATTTACTGATGTCATGGAGCCTCAGGAAGCCCTGGCATTCCTCAGAAGGAGGATTCAAACTCTTATGAATACTAATGATTCCAATCCATTAGGTTCCCAGGAAGCTCAGATTGGTGTAAAACATGAACCAGCAGCCTCAGCTGCTGATTTATTTGATAGAGCACAGCTCCAGTACCTAGAAAAACTCAACTTCGTGGAGACCAGGCATGTTGAATTTAAAATGTTCTCAGCAGATGTGTCACAGTGTGTTAGAGAGATGCTTCCCAAGTGTGTTTCTGCACTTGCAAATACTGAAGGAGGATATGTATTTTTTGGCGTGCATGAAGAGACCTGTCAAGTCATTGGATGTGAAAAGGAGAAAGTAGATCTTACCATCCTGAGGATCTCTATCGATGGCTGTATTAGGAAGTTGCCTGTCCATCATTTTTGTACACGAAGACCTGAGATACAATATACCATCAAATTCCTTGAGGTGCACGATAAGGGGGCTCTCTATGGATATGTCTGCGCAGTCAAAGTGGAGCAATTCTGCTGTGCTGTGTTTGCCAAAGTGCCCAATTCCTGGCATGTGAAGGACAACCAAGTGAAACAGATGTCCACAAAGGAATGGGCAACTTGGATGATCGAAACCGACCCAGGTCAGAGAGTACAACCGAAAATGATTGTAATGGGGGCCAGAGGGTGGCGTAGTGGTTAAGGTGCTGGATTCCTATATGATCAACCATGGTTTGAGTCCTGTACCTGGAGGCTTAAACTCATGCTGGGCACATATACATATGTACCTAAAATCCCAGGAGGAGAGTAGAGAAAGGTTTGTGACTCAGCCATTTTCCTCTGGGGGAGGGGGGGGTTTCTCATGTCTCTCTCCGTCTCTCTGTTAAGCACATGTGCCCTATGGCAAAAACCTAAGAACAAAACAAACAAACAAATAATTGTAATGTTTGCTGGCAGAGTGTGGGGCAGACAAGAAAGGAAAGTACAGCATTCTTTGGAATTCCAAGAAAGAGAGGCAGTATCTGAGTTGCAGGTGCCTGACATCACTTCCTATAGATGCAGTTGGCAGGTCTTTGCCCTTTCTTCCCTCCCTCTTCCTTTGAGTATTCTGCAACCAACAGGTGGCCTAAGCTAGTCAGCTACTAGGGATTGGTGCAGAGGGCTGTTTGACCTAGTTCATTATATTTTCACAACATTTCTTACATTCATCATTCAAGTGTCTTCCTTCTTTCCTTTCTTCCTTTCTTTCTGACTATGAACTTACATTTAACTACTCAGGAAATGCCCTTTTTCACGTATGCAAATGTGCCCTCTTTAACTTCCAGCACTTCTCTCTGATTCCTATTCTTACCTGGTTTCTTGGACTAAACATTCTCATTGCCCCATTTCCATTTTTTAACAAAAACATGACAAAATCATGGCTTTTCCTCTTCTTTCCCACTTCTCCTTTTGAGAGTTAACATGTGGCGCTTACCTTGATTGATAGCCCAGAGAGTAGTAGAAAAGGAAAGCCCATGATAAAATTAGACAAAAAGAATGTAGAAAGACAAAGTCCAATTCAGACTCTGTTCAAAAATCTATATTCATTGATCTTCATATGTTCTAATCCTATCCTTCAAGAAAATAGCATTCTTGGGAACCAGCAGTTAGCGTAATGGCTGTCGCTGGACTCCCACGTAGTCGACCGCGGTTCACGTCCTGGACCCGGTGGCTTAAAACTCACGCCGGGCGCGTGTGCATGCGTGCCCAAGATCCTGAGAGGAGAATGGAGAAGGGATTGCAGCGTGACCATCCCCCCTGGGGGGTGATTTCTCGCTTTCTGTCTCTATGTCTCTCTCTGTCTGTCTGGCGAGTGCACGCGCCCTA